ATGAGGGAGGGGTGGCATTGGGAACCTTGTTGGTAAGCAGGATCCCCATGGGGACTGGTCAGTGGTCTGGTCTCCACTTTTTATAACACTAGTGCAAGATCATCACCATGTTACCAAAGGCAGGCCTCTGCTTTGTGTATAGCCATATGCTAACTAAAATAAGTTAATTACTGAGCTTCTTACTGTGTGAGAAAATAGTTGGTCGCTGAGCTGATAGTGATAAGGATGGGATAACATGAAGTAGTTGATGACTTCAAGGCTCTCTCATATGTCAAAGTATGTATTCCTGTACCAATTAGGACAGAGTTGAGGCTACTTCAAGGAATGATCCTTGAGAAGCTGGCAAACTTACAGTAAACTTTTACTGTCCTGAGATGACACAATATCTTAAAAGGATCATGTGAGGAAGGGTATCCTTACCCAAACGACCACTGAGGAAGTCATGCCTGCACAGAAGTGTTTTGCAGATGCTGCAAAATTTAATACGCATATGCAAAAGGGCTATTCGGTCATCCTAATCAATGTGTAAGCCTAGTTATGGAGTTATGTACGAGGCAGGCAGAATAATGAGAATCTTTTGTATATGAATAATGGATGAATGTCCCAGTGAGGTGTGCTACATTTGTGGATTTCCACCTAGCACCTGACGTCGAATAAAGCAGTATCTCCTCTCTAAACTGCTTCTTGTTTTGAGAGCTTTTGTTTCAGGTAGAAACCATAGCCATCCTCTTTTTCCAAACCACAATATAAGCAAAAAGTCTTCAAACTCAGAGTAGCATGGTGAGAACCCAGTCAAGGAACACTGGAAATACAACTGTTTTTTGATCTTCTGCTGTTTAATCAGGTGGGTCTCCTTACCAGCATCCTAGTAAAGCCTTTATGCTGGGGAAGTGTGGGAACACAGGATGCGGTGAGGCAGACACAGTCTCGGGCAAAGAAGAAGATTTGCCTGCATTTTCTATTCAGATATCCAACCTGAGAATTGTGCTACATCCTCAACTGCAGAACAGTCACCTATTGTTACAGCACGTAGGCATCATTTTTAATCCCTTTCTGCTCTTTCTGTGCCTGGCCAAGCTATTTCACCACTTTAATTTACAGACCCTCCCCCTGTGACTGTGTGGGGAGAGGGATTGCTGCTCTGGGTAGTTATATAGACCACCAGTCCAGTAACACAAGACAGGGCAGGGAGAAAAGAGGTTTTTCTTCAACATGGCATTCATCTATATGCTCCACTAACCACACACCATGGACTTGAGGCTTTATTGACCAGCTCCTGACCCTAAATTCCTGTTTCTGGAACTTGCCTTTTATTTCCAGGGCTGTAGGACACCTCTCCCAGCATGGTGCCATGCTGCCAGCAGGAGCAGTGCTGAAGTCTGATCCTGGCTTGATTTGAGGATAGGCTGGCAGGAAAAGCAGTTTCCATAGTCCCTGGAGCAGACAATCAGCTGAGGAAGCAATGCAGGCACCCCCAGCAGCAGCAGTGGCTCTTGGCCAGCCACAACTGCAGGCAAAGGGAAGCCCCAGCCTGTGCTCTGAGCAGCCGCCAGGGTCAGACACCTTGCTTTGCTCTTGTAGCTTTATAACCATACCCAAGTTGAGACCAAAGCTCCCAGCAATATTTAGGACACCTCAGGTTAAACTGGGTTTTGGCTATTCCTGAAGTAGTTGATGACTTCAAGGCTCTCTCATATGTCAAAGTATGTATTCCTGTACCAATTAGGACAGAGTTGAGGCTACTTCAAGGAATGATCCTTGAGAAGCTGGCAAACTTACAGTAAACTTTTACTGTCCTGAGATGACACAATATCTTAAAAGGATCATGTGAGGAAGGGTATCCTTACCCAAACGACCACTGAGGAAGTCATGCCTGCACAGAAGTGTTTTGCAGATGCTGCAAAATTTAATACGCATATGCAAAAGGGCTATTCGGTCATCCTAATCAATGTGTAAGCCTAGTTATGGAGTTATGTACGAGGCAGGCAGAATAATGAGAATCTTTTGTATATGAATAATGGATGAATGTCCCAGTGAGGTGTGCTAGATTTGTGGATTTCCACCTAGCACCTGACATCGAATAAAGCAGTATCTCCTCTCTAAACTGCTTCTTGTTTTGAGAGCTTTTGTTCCAGGTAAAAACCACAGCCATCCTCTTTTTCCAAACCACAATATAAGCAAAAAGTCTTCAGACATTTGTGGATTTCCACCTAGCACCTGACGTCGAATAAAGCAGTATCTCCTCTCTAAACTGCTTCTTGTTTTGAGAGCTTTTGTTTCAGGTAGAAACCATAGCCATCCTCTTTTTCCAAACCACAATATAAGCAAAAAGTCTTCAAACTCAGAGTAGCATGGTGAGAACCCAGTCAAGGAACACTGGAAATACAACTGTTTTTTGATCTTCTGCTGTTTAATCAGGTGGGTCTCCTTACCAGCATCCTAGTAAAGCCTTTATGCTGGGGAAGTGTGGGAACACAGGATGCGGTGAGGCAGACACAGTCTCGGGCAAAGAAGAAGATTTGCCTGCATTTTCTATTCAGATATCCAACCTGAGAATTGTGCTACATCCTCAACTGCAGAACAGTGACCTATTGTTACAGCATGTAGGCATCATTTTTAATCCCTTTCTGCTCTCTCTGTGCCTGGCCAAGCTATTTCACCACTTTAATTTACAGACCCTCCCCCTGTGACTGTGTGGGGAGAGGGATTGCTGCTCTGGGTAGTTATATAGACCACCAGTCCAGTAACACAAGTTTCTGTGCCTGGCCAAGCTATTTCACCACTTTAATTTACAGACCCTCCCCCTGTGACTGTGTGGGGAGAGGGATTGCTGCTCTGGGTAGTTATATAGACCACCAGTCCAGTGACACAAGGCATGGCAATGAGAAAAGAGGTTTTTCTTCAACATGGCATTCATCTATATGCTCCACTAACCACACACCATGGACTTGAGGCTTTCTTGACCAGCTCCTGACCCTAAATTCCTGTTTCTGGAACTTGCCTTTTATTTCCAGGGCTGTAGGACACCTCTCCCAGCATGGTGCCATGCTGCCAGCAGGAGCAGTGCTGAAGTCTGATCCTGGCTTGATTTGAGGATAGGCTGGCAGGAAAAGCAGTTTCCATAGTCCCTGGAGCAGACAATCAGCTGAGGAAGCAATGCAGGCACCCCCAGCAGCAGCAGTGGCTCTTGGCCAGCCACAACTGCAGGCAAAGGGAAGCCCCAGCCTGTGCTCTGAGCAGCCGCCAGGGTCAGACACCTTGTTTTGCTCTTGTAGCTTTATAACCATACCCAAGTTGAGACCAAAGCTCCCAGCAATATTTAGGACACCTCAGGTTAAACTGGGTTTTGGCTATTCCCTAAAAAAAAAAAATCTGAGAAGGAATGGATTTTCTCAGAAATGTCTTCTAAACAACCCAAGAAAAATACTGGGAAGCCACTTTCCTGCTACAGGCACCTGCAAAGAACACATCTCCTTCTTACATTGACAGGTCTTTAAGAGAGGCCTAACATTAAAATTCACTTGTCCAAGTTTTTTTAAAAAAGCTTTAATTTAAAAAATTACGGTTTGGCACCATACATTGTGCCGGGTTTTCTTCTGCACACACAACCCAGAGAGCATTTCCCATGGCTGGCAGGTAGTCCCTGTCATGCCTCGCACCCCACCTGTAACCCACTTCAGGGGCTATGGCTGGGGCCTTCCCAAGAAGGGCTTCTTGGTCACAAAATACTGGGAAACTCAAAAATCTTGTGGCCAGCATCACACCATGAATGCTATCATTTCGTTCATAGAATCATAGAATCGCAAGTTGGAAGAGTTACGGTTTGGCACCATACATTGTGCCGGGTTTTCTTCTGCACACACAACCCAGAGAGCATTTCCCATGGCTGGCAGGTAGTCCCTGTCATGCCTCGCACCCCACCTGTAACCCACTTCAGGGGCTATGGCTGGGGCCTTCCCAAGAAGGGCTTCTTGGTCACAAAATACTGGGAAACTCAAAAATCTTGTGGCCAGCATCACACCATGAATGCTATCATTTCGTTCATAGAATCATAGAATCGCAAGTTGGAAGGGACCTCAAGGATCATCTGGTCCAACCTCTCTTGGCAAAAGCACAGTCTAGACAAGATGGCCCAGCAGCCTGTCCAGCTGAACCTTAAATTTGTCCAGCGTTGGGGAATCTACTTCTTCCCTGGGGAGATTTTTCCAATAGCTGATTGCTCTCATTGTGAAAAATCTTCCTCTTGTGTCCAGCTGGAATCTGTTCTGGAGTAACTTGTATCCATTGACCATCCTCATGGGCAATGAAAAGCCACATGGGAAGCCATGTGACTCCTTGTAGAAAGGGAGTCTCCATCTTCTTTGTAGCCACCCGTTAAATACTGGAACATGGAACTGGAACATTACATCTCCCCTAAGCCTTCTTTTATGAAGGCTGCACAAACCCTTTCCTCACATGGCAGGTTTCCCAGTCCTTGGATCATCTTGGTGGCCCTTCTCTGGACCCTCTCCAGCCTATCCACATTCTTTTTGTGTAGCAGGGCCCAAAACTGAAGACAGGATTCCAGGTGCAGCCTGACAAGAGCTGTAGTAGAGTGGGATAATGACTTCTTTCTCCCTTCTGGTGGTGGCCTTGTTGATGCAACCCATCATCCCGTTGGCTTTCTTTGCCGCAGCAAACTGTTCACTCATATTGAGCTCCTTGGCCAGCAGGACCCCCCAGGCCCCTTTCCACAGAGCTGTTCCCCAGCTGGGGAGCTTAAGGGCTTAAAGCTTAAGGGCAGGAGAAGAAGGAAGCACGGGTAGAACGCCATCAGACCCCCTTCTCCTTGGCTGGGGGGGTGTGACTGGAAACCGGCCACCTCCCTCCTGAGGCGACCCACCGCCTAACGGCCGCCGCCAACGGCCCTCAGCAAAGCCCCGCCCCTTGGCAACGCCCCGCCACGCGCGCGCAGCTCCCTCCCTCCCTCCCTGTGAGGGGCCGCCCCCTGCCCGCCATGCTCCGGTCCGAGGCGGGGCGGGCAGCGGCGGTACCCGGCCATGTCGGGAGACGGCGAGGAAGATCTACCGGCCTTCGTGGCCCTGCACGGGGCCGCCCTCCGCGCTTCGGGAGTGCCGGCGCGCTACTGGGAGAGCCTGTGCCGCAAACTGCGTGGAGAGGTGGGTGAGGCGGGGAGGAACGGCGCTGAGGGAAGCGCCTTCGGCGGGAAAAGCCGCGCGGGGCCGGGACTCTCCCTTCCCCTCAGTGAGGAGAGAGCGGTGGGGAGTGGGGGTCCCCTCTCCTCCCTCCCACAGCTGGGTATGAAAAGGCACGACCCCTTCAGCCCCTCCGAGATGGTGAGGGGAGCCGTGGCTGGGAGCGGCTCCCCCTGTCCCCGCCGGGGCGAAGAAGAAAGCTGAGGGGGTTGCTGTAGGAAAAAAAGCTTCGTGCAGGTTGTGTTACCCGAAACTGCAGCTCGCGGCTGTGAAAGAGACCGGGGTGTGTTGTGCGGATCCGATGTCGTCTCATTGTTGTCAGCCCAAAGCCTGAAAAGCTTTTGGGGATCCCTGGTAACTGCAGATCCAGTGCGAGAAATAAAGGGTTGATGAATGTGTCCTGAAGCATTCGGCTCTTTTTGCCAAATAGGAATTTAGAAAAGCAACAGTGGTAGTATTAAAAGTCAGAACGTTGTCATATGTTAACGTGATATGGTTTGGGTTGGCTTTTACCTGATTTTATATATATATTATTTTTTTCCCCAGTTCACTTCTATGCTGGTTTACCCTGTTCTCAGTCATTTTATAACTCCACAGAGCTACCTCAGTCAGCTTGTCTAGCGTATGCAAGAGTTACCCCTCTCAGGCTATTTTCTGGAGTGTTTTTGGCCAGTTGGTTTGCTCGTTTATTCCTGACCCAAATAAAAGCTGTTCAGCTCTTTCAGAAGACAGGGATGGTGGTACAAGGTTCTGTCGATGGTTAAAATAATAACAATGCAAGAACCTCTTTGTAGAGCATCTCCGAGTAGCGATGCTCTCTAACTTTATGAGGCTGAGAAAAGGAGTCATTTTGGACAAACAGCTTTGCGAAGACAGGAGATGAATTTAGAAAATTTATTTTGTTTTGGAATAAGCAGTCAGCCTTTAGTGGTGAGGAAAGCTGTCTTGGATTTATTGGAGTAAAGGAACCAGGAACTGAGGCAGGAAAGAGACAGAACCCGAAACTAGATGTCTGGAGACTTGAGAGTGCTCCAGGGAGTCTGGAGGAGTCTACCTGGAGAAGGAAATAAGAATGAGGTGAACCTTCAGTCTTGGGGAAGGAAAGAGATCTGATGGGAACCTTAAGATACAGGGAGAAAAGGGAACTAGCGGTGGGGTGCAGGAAGGCATGATGAGCAGTGGAGAAACAGATGAGATGGGATGATAAATTTGAACTGTAGGATAGTGGGCAAGGAGAGGGGACTGTAGTTTAACACCCATGTACAAGTAAACTAATTCTTGATTACTTGAACTCTTTTTACCCCACATCAACTTCAAAGTTGGGACTGGAGGGAGTATAGCAAGTTGTGATATAATCTGAGTGTTTATAGCACAGGGTCTGAATGCGTTCTTACTGCTTTCTAACTGTTGTGTGTCTGGTACTGCTAGTAACAAGACTATGTCTGTATTACAGAGAAAATAAATCTACATTAATTCAAGCATATGCCCAGTAACAAGCTTCCTGTTATGTTATACCTCTCTCAGCAAGCATATGTGCAAGTGACTTGGAGCAGGGAATGTCTACTGCTCTGCTTAAAGAGGAAGGCACGAGAAAGGATGTATTGAAACAGGATGAAATAGAAGGCAGTATAAAACTGGTAAAGAAATATGAAGTTGCAAAGAGTTGCATTGCCATGTGTCAGTATTAGAAAGCTGGAGGTAGCTGGCAAACTGGAATTGTCCTGTGACAAACGCGGGCTGAAGATTGATGTCCTGTGGCTGAATTTATTACATATTACCAGCTTTGTTGGGGAGGGATGTGAAAATTAGAACATATGACAATAGAACAAGGGGAGTCATGGTCCTGATCTTTTTGCGGAGGCTAGGATGGCGAAAGGCAGGATGAAGAAAGCATATGCCCTAAGGTGGCAGGCTGCTCCTTCTGCTTCATTTTGCTTGCAGTGGTGTCTGAGCATGCTCTTTTGTACTAAGTGTTTCAGTTCGTGTGGAGAAAGAGGTTTAATGATTTCAATGTGCTTAGGAAGGTAAATTAGGCTGCTGATAGTGCTTGTCTCTACTGTTGCAGCTTCTGGGTTTTATCCAGAGGAAGGGCAAAAGGATATGGAGAAGACTTGGATGTCCAGGGAAAACAACTGTGAGGAGTGCTGTGGACTGGGATGAGCTCTTGAAAGGAGGTAGAGACAACTACAGTACCTTAATTAGAACTGGGCCATGTGAAGTGGCTGGAGGAACAGCAGTAAAGAAAGCAAATGGAGTGAAGGGAGAGAATGAAAATGTTTTGGGAGTCTAGGTAACAAAGAATAACTGGGGGAGTGTGGGGTGTGAAAATCAGTGCAACATGTAGCATAGAATGAGTTTCCTTGATTCATGTGTGAAGGTAGGAGGAATTTTTTATTTGTCCTAACCTGTTGCAAAGATTAAAACTTTCTAGCATAGGACTTGGAAAATTTGCATCCATAGTACAGATAAAAATCTCTCTTACATGAGTACTTCTAGAGCCCAAGCCCGGGCAGCTGTTTTCCAAGATACACATGTGCTTCAACATACAGAGGGAATGTACCCCCCTTTCTATGTGTACGTTAAGGCCTGCAAGAGAAGGGGAGGGTTTGGTTTTTTTCATTTACCTTGAGATCTGCTAGAGCAGGTTTTCTTTTGAAAACATTAGGTAACCATGATTTAAATTGGATTGCTCTTTCAAAACATGGCATATCTGTTAGATCAAAAAAACTGCTTTTATTTATTTATTTTGCATTTGGCATTCGGTGTCTCTGTTGGGAAGCAAACTTTTCTGTATTACTGGCAGAAACTTGAAGAACAAAACGTATTGCAGCAAGATTTTTGTGGCCCTGAGATGTTGCTGGCAAAGGACTGCTTAGAGTTTCATCCTGGTTAGAAATAGAGGCTCTTAATTAATTACTAAAAGGAATAAAACCCAATCAATATTACTAGACTTCATTTTCCAGAGCAGGGGAGGGCAGGCTTTTGTTCAGAGGCTACCTGTGGCCTTCAAAGTAGTTTGCAATATGCCTATAAGGAATTTGCTGAAAATGCCTGTGCATGGTAATTGTCATGACATGTGCCTGCTTTGTTATCACATTCTCTGGTTCATTAGGTTTGTTAGGTTGGAACTGCACCTGAATCTGAAGAGGGAGTGATTTTGCCCAAGCATGTTTTGCTTGCAAATGGTTGTGCCACCAAAATGTGTTGCTGTCCCTCTGCTGATTTCTAGAGATTATTACGTATTCTGGTGGAGTACTCCATGTGAGTTCTCCCTATTCCATTTCAAGCAAAAGGTTATACTTTTCAAACTGGTGGCATAATCTTATCTGGCTGATGTTTGCCTTAAGTAGCTTAAGATTCCTTTAATGGAGCTCCTGCGTTAGTAGGGTCACAGTGTGACATCCCCTCTTAAAGGGAGGGAGGGGGAAAGGAGGACAGCAGTGTCGTCCATCTGCTTAACAGGCAGTGTGTCCACACTGGTGACCAGCCACTTCTGCCAAACTGGTCAGTTCACTACTGAACTGTTTGCATTATCAATTAGAAATTTAAAAAAAAAAAAAAGCCACAAAAAACCAGAAAAAGCCACTGATTAAGGTGGTCTTGAACTACTGTTCTGAGAATTGTGAATTGCTTCAGGTGAGGAACACACTTAATTATTTTTTTCAATTTTATAAATTCTCTATGAGGGTTTTTTAACATTCTGCTGAAAAGGTATTAAAAGTGGAAATTTTTTGCTAAATGTAACCGCTACAGTCTCATGCTGCTGATGCTCTGTTGGAGGGAGAGATCAAAACTTTGCCTTAGGGGATTTGGAGTCCCTTAATTTTCAAGTCTTGAGTTGATATTTAATAAAATATAAAGCCAACAGTTTACCTTTAGTTGTAGGAGTTGATACTAACATTCCTCATGGGTGTTTGGTGAACAGGTGGAGCCTGTGGCAAGTGAAGGCTAATCTCTGAGTCAGCAGCTGGCTCACCTCAGAACCCAGCTCCTACAAACTCTTTAAGACACTGTCAAGTGTAGAAAGAATATGTAGTGCCGTACTGTAGTAGGTGTGAAGTGGACACAGTGAATCACACTTGTGGTTTTAATTTTCTGATGTCTGTCAGTCACTTAGCTGCAGTTTCTTCTGCTAGCTAATGAGCTTGATGAGGACAGCAGCAGGAGCAGGGAAGAGTTGAATGTGTGTGTGTCCTGGTGTGCTTTTTTGCTACCTACTGTAAGCTGGGATTAGCACTCGTGTGGTGAGCCAGATCAGCGAGCTGATCCAGCTGGGAGTTGACCTGGCAAAAAGGAATGGGGAGCACCACTGACAGCCACACAAGGAAGGACTCTTCCTTTCACTGGGACCTGCCTGCAGTTACACAAATGGCTGTGAGTTTTACAGGCAACTGAGCAGAGACTTATAGAAATATTGGTGGTCCTGTTGCAACAGCAGGAGGCTGTGATATTGCTTACGATTGAGTAATGTTGTCCTCTTCTAGAAAAACTGAAAAACTAGAAATAAATTAGAACTGCTAGCTATTTTGATGCCTGCTGAAGTGGAAAATACTAAGTTCGTTTCAGATTCTTTTTAAAAATAGGTGTGTTTTTACTCTCCAGTGAAATTGTCTACAAAGTAATTTTCTTTATCCTAAGAAAAATGTCTACGTGGAGTTAGCCAACATATTGTTGGCATCTTCTTTTTCTATCCCCCAGCCCAAAGGAAACTGCCATCTCCTGCTCCTCAGAAGGGAATTTCAGGCACTTGTCTGCTTGGATCTGGTCTAAGATACCATGCTGTGGCTTAAGGTCTGAAGCAGGCGGTGTTTTCCTGCTGCCTTCCTCCCTTGCTAGATGTCTCTGGGAAGCTCTCTGCTTTGTCTAGGTGGCCTTGCTTTACAAATGTGGAGTTGATTTCCTCACCCTCTTGAAACAGCTGTAGCAGAAATAGTTATCCCCAGGGAGCACTCACTTGAATAAATAAAAGCTTGTCACTGCCACTGTGATTTTGTAGCTAATAAGTTGTCAATGTCTAGAAGTAATGACTTCTAATAGTGTGATGTCAGAGGCTAGGTCTACCTGGGCTTGGCTTGTTAAACCAGTAGCTCCAGAGGTCACGCTTCTAGATTTTTTCCCCTCCCTGCTACTTTCTAGTGAGATGAGATTGAGGCAAAACAATTTGTCTGCCCCTGCCTGGTTCATTATGTAGCATGTGGATGACTTTTCAAAAGCTTTCAGAGGGAGTTATTTTGCTAAGTCTTCTTTCTTTTCTTCTTAAAAGCACATGTTCACTTTGAAATCACGGAAGTTGTTAGCAGAGTCTTGATTCTTCAGAAGATATGCAAGCCTGCCATTTGGCAAGATTTTGGGCAGAAGGGAAACTTGTGTAGTGACCTACTAATTTATGTAGATGGAGGTGTTATGTCCAGAGAAGGCAAGAATGTAAAGAAACCCTTTTCAGCACATTAGTAGAGGTAAGTGTATAGACCTTAACTTGCAGCAGTGTAAGGAATCTCACAACTCATCCAGGGGTGAGTGAACGTGGGCAGTCCTTTTTTGTAGGGAAAGAAGAGAGGGGGAGACATGCGGAGATTTCTGGTTTGGAACTTGATTGGTAAAAGCTCTTTTTCTTCATCTTCAGGGAATTCAATGTACTTTAGTATGGTTGTATAGTTTGGGTAACACCTGGTTTTGCAGGTCTTAAATTGTTGATTTTAGCAAAGTTAAGCAAAAATACTCTGTTTTCAGCTCTTAAAATTCTTTATGAGGATTTCAACTAATAGATGATCATCAGCAGACCTGTTAGTACCAAAGAAACCAAGAAAACTTCCTGCCTATATTAACTAAAGAAACTTCCCAAACAAACAGCTCTGTTAGTGTTAAGGAATAAGTGCTGTTGTTCACTTATCTGTTAAGTTAAAAGTGCCGTTTTCTGTAGGATTGCAGGCCACAAGTGTCTGCAAGTGTTTTTCAGTGCTGCATTGTGCATATGGGGGTACTGCCACAACCAACTGCTTGATGTTTTGTGCACTTTTCATCTCAGATATTTGATGCTGGTGACTACTTTGGGATAATGCAAGTAGAAGAGGTGGATGAAGAGGAAGAAGGCGATGAAGAAATGGAAGAAGAGTTAAAAAAGAAACCAAATCCTGGAAATGAACCTTGTTTCAAAGTTATCGTAACAAATGAGAATGGACTTCAAGCCTCCAATCCCAATAGGTAAGTAGTGATTTCAGAACTAGTGTTCAGACTTTGAGTGGTCTTAAACCCTAAACTAATAAGGAGAGTTTGCTTTAAAACTTGTTTGATCCTGTTCAGAAATGCTCTTTTCTTACTGTAAGACCTAGCTCTCTGAGGAAAGGTGCATGCTGTGAGGCATATCTTGAAAAGGGTACTAGGAGTTCAAGTATCTTAATGTTCCTTATTAAATCATGCAGGAATATGCTTAGAAATCGGTTTTAGTAAACTGAGGGAGAAAATGAGGAAAAAGCAACCTTGAAATGAATTCTGCAGAAAAAAAACCCCTTTGTATCTGCAAGACTGTTTGCCCTTGGGAAAAAAAAAAACAAAACTGAAGAAATAATTGTGACTTTCACAGGTCTCAGGCGAAGGAGGTACTACGCAGCTTCAAAGTAATGATCTGTGGACTATTAAATTTCCTCCAATTGGCTAAAATATAATTCAAGAGTGTGATCATGTGATTGCATGCTATGCATGCATACATAATTGAATAGATCAGGTTACTGTTGGCTTTCTTCAGAATCAGCTTATCTGTCATGAATATGAGACTAGTGTGCAGCTATAAAACTGGAAGAAAGTTGCATAAGAAACAACTTGATGTTAAAACAGCTTTTTGTGTTCTTGGTTTTAAACACAGAACAGGCTGTTTGTCATATATTAATAAATAGCAGTGAGGTATATTCATCTGCTGGAGATGCGAACGCAATTCTGCTCAGTGCTATATAACATCTTTTGTCAGAATTTTCATACATTTTTAGGTCTTAGGTAAACATACAAAGTCTAAAAATCTAAATTTAGCTTTCATGAGCAAAAACAACGTAGAGCACGGGTATCTGCCTTTGCGTGCCTGCTTTAGCCTAAGTCATTGTCTTTCTAAATCTGAGAACGCACTTGAAAGCTATGAAGTTCAAAACAGCTCCTACGATAATCTTGGGCTTCCTCGCAACATTCAGATGTATGTGTATATAGGAACAGAACACAAATGTGCCTCTTTGCCAACGTTTCCAAAGAGTTTGACCTTAGCATTCTCTGGAGTCTTTGATTTTAAAATTAAATGAGGTTTTTTTCTGTATGTGGCATGCAATAATTGTTCAAGGATACTTGCTGTACATGACAGTTGACATGTTTTTAACTTTCTGAAATATGGGTTGTAGAGGTGGGTTTGTTGTGGGTTGGTTTGTTGGTTTGGTTTATTTTAGCAAGTAGAATTCAGATTTTTCTCTGACTTGATTCAGGAAAAGGGTAAAACCAAAATGCGGAGAATGCTTCTGTTTGAATAACTATGTGGGTTTTTGTAAAAATCATGTGGCCTAAATAAGGACTAAACTTGTCAAGGGAAGCTGTGTGGCTGTCAGTTGTGTATGGTTTTGTTTTGGGTTATATTATTTTAAAACAATGTATTTTTTCTAAAAAGATTGGAGAGAGGAGGGAAATCCCCCAAAAACCTCACAGAGAAACAATCAATAAACCTTAAAATGAATCTTTTTTTTTTTTTTTTAAATAGCAATTACAGGTTTTTGGTAATCAGACCTCTCCTCCTAGTTTTATAGATGACAGTAGATGCCACGGAGCTCATGACTAACAAGATCCTCAAATACTTTTGAAAAGGAATGTATTGTTTTCCTTCTTCAGGCAGGAGCATTAAGTTGGAGTGGAGTTAATAACGATGATAAGGGAAGAAATTGTGTTCCCAGCCTTTAAAGGGAGTTAGGCTTACAAACTGAGTACCCATTGCTGTGTTTGTTCCTCGTTTGCATGGAAATGCTAACTAATGCAAAATAAGTGTTTTAGAACAAGTTCAAGTGTAAATTACTGCTGGGAGATTGTTCCTAGCCTTAAACGTCACAGTGTGTACTCAGGGAGTTACTTTGGGCATAAGAAAAAACTTAGAAGGAAATATAGCTCTTGTGGTCAAATGTTCAGCAAATATATGTGTAAAAATATATGTGTATGTTGTTGTAATGTTACCAAAATTCTCTTGAAGCATTTTCCTCATCGACCACGCCTGGACATACCGTGTTGAACACGCCCGGCAGCAGCTGCTGCACGTACCCGGGTTACTGCACAGAATGACAAACCTCATGGGCATCGACTTCCACGGGGAGATCCCAGACGAGGGCAGCATCGAGCAAGTGTTGCAGGAAATGTGGAAATACAATCAGACCTACCAGCTTTCTCAAGGGGTAAGTCTCTAAAGCCTAATTAGGATGCTAAAAAGTCATCCTGAGTGAAGACGTTCTAATATATGGTTATTGACAAAGATGCGTTTTCATTAAAAATGGGCCTTTACAGCCATTTCAGAATGAACTTCTACTCGGAAGGAGAGCAAATGCCATGTAAGGCTTAAATGCACAGCAGCTTGCTAGCAGTGTTCTGATGAGAACTTTGAATGGGTTTTTATATAGGGTGGGAGAGTCTGCTGTAAAAGAAGGGGGCTGGGACAGGGAGTTCTGTGGGGTTTTTCTACTCAAATTGTCTCATAGTGAAGGAAAGGACCTCTCATAAATCAACTGTCTCACATAAAAGTGTGTCTCAGCTATGTTTGCAGTTTTCCTCACCTGTATAGAATGCTTTACGTACTGGGGATATATATATCTATACTGTCAAATTATTTAACTTACTAGTTTGGATTTGGCAACTGATTGTCTGTAATGTGTAAATGAAAACACTCTCTGGAATGGAGACCTTTATGAATTAAGTTATCAGCTTAGCTCACAGTAGTATCAGGCCTGAAAAATCCCTAAGAAAGGGATTAATTGTGACTGCTTTCTCTTTTTCTTTAAAATATTTTAAAACATTTTTCTTTTTTAAATAAAAGGGAGAGCTGAACAGTGTCTCTCAATCTTCCTACCCTGTGTCTTTGTTTCCCATCTTGATGTCATGAATGGCTTGTGAGTCAGGTATCTGTGTTACCACTTGAAAAGTGATTTCCTGGAAGACAATTAATTAAACCTGCAGTTAAACTTGTCTTCTGTTCCCCTTTCTGACACTGGGCTGCTCGAGTATTTTAAGTCTAATCTCTGTGCTCTGTTTCTGTCTATGTAAAAAGGCAACAGTAGTGCTACCAAGCAATTTAAGTTTTATTCATTCGGAATTTTTCTATGACAAGCGTTGCAGGAAGGGGTGCTTTGATGATGCAACCTCAACACTCTTGCCAGCCAGCTGCTGTGGCAGGAGGCAGTTCTGCTGCCCTTTACTCTTAAGCTGTAAACTTCAAACTACTTTTAGCAAACTGATTCTGGTAGAAAATGAAGGCAAACTAATCCTACCAAACAGCCTTCTGCTGGTTTAGCTCCCTGAACTGGCTAGTTTGGTACAGGGTACAGGGAGTGTGGTATTGGAAAGCAGCCCTGAGGAAAGGGACTTGGGGGTGCTGGTGGACGAGAAGCTGGACATGAGCAGGCAGTGTGCAGCTGCAGCCCAGAAGGCCAATCACATCCTGGGCTCCATCAAAAGATGCGTTGCCAGCAGGTCCAGAGAGGTGATTCTGCCACTTTACTCTGCTCTGGTGAGACCTCACCTGGAGTATTGTGTGCAGGTCTGGAGCCCTCAATATAAGAAGGACATGGACCTGATGGAGAGGGTCCAGAGGAGGGCCACAAGGATGATCAGGGGGATGGAGCACCTCTGCTACGAGGACAGGCTGAGGGAGCTGGGGTTGTTCAGCCTGGAGAAGAGGAGGCTCCGGGGAGACCTAATAGCAGCCTTCCAGTACCTGAAGGGAGCCTACAGGAAGGCTGGGGAGAACCTGTTTAGAAAGGCCTGCAGTGACAGGACGAGGGGAAATGGCTTCAAGCTGGAGGGGAGCAGATTTACACTGGAGATTAGGAGGGGGTTCTTCACTGTGAGGGTGGTGGAGCACTGGAACAGGTTGCCCAGGGAGGTGGTTGAGGCCCCTTCCCTGGAGATATTCAAGGAGAGGCTCGATGAGGCCCTGGGCAACCTGGTCTAGTTGGGGGTGTCCCTGCTGACTGCGGGGGGGTCAGACTAGATGACCCTTGGAGGTCCCTTCCGGCCTGGGCAATTCTATGATTCTATGGTGTAGGGGAGGACTTTGTAGAGTAGGGTAGATGGTTGGACGCGATGATCCCAAGGGTCTCTTCCAACCTAGACAATTCTATGATTCTATGAAAGAGGATGGGACTGTGCCGTGGAGATGGGAACAAGCTGTTCCCAGCAGTGGCTGGATGCTAGCCCGGCTTAGCCTCCGAGTTGCAGAGATGAGTGTTCCTCTGTACCCAGCACCTGCTCACAGTCTTGGATGGAGTAGGAAACTGAGAAACGGTTGTAGGGGGTGCTGCCAGTGCCTTCTGTCTCGTGGTGCTTTTCTAGTGATTGCTATGGGCAGGATATCTCACTCTCTTTAATCGCACAGACTGCAGAGGAGAAGGTTCCTGTCTGGTACATCATGGATGAATTTGGATCACGCATTCAGCATTCTGATCAGCCTAGTTTTGCAACAGCACCTCTGTTTTATATGCCTCAACAAATTGCTTACACTGTTCTCTGGCCTCTGAGAGACCTTGAAACTGGGGGTAAGTGTGTGCCTGTTGAGTTTTTGTAGTTTGTTTTTTTTTTTATTAAACTCATAATAGAAGGTGGGCCATATTCTTACAAATCATTGAGCAGTAGAACAAAAATTTCAAGACCAAAATGATTGCAAATTTTAATGCTCTCAAATTTAAAAGTTCTCTGACTGATATTTTCGTAATTTATGTGAGAGAGAGGCCTTTATCAGTCAAAAAATATTGCTAATGTTGTATTGAGAGAGAACTTGTATTGAGAGCTATTAAATCTTGCATCACTATCTTAATGGAACTACTGTTTCAATCATCCGAGACTCTTTAAAATTCCTTAAAAGTTTGTGTTTGTAGCTTTGAGTAAGAAAGTCAATGTACTGAAGTTTGGAAATGCCAGGCCAATGATTTACTCCTGTAATCTTAGTTGGGGCCACCTTATGCCCCTATGATGTGGAGGAGATAAGTGTTTGGCCGTCTGACTAAACTGACCCAAGTGAGATGGTTTCAGACTAATTTTTGCATCCTAAATAATAATACCCTTTTTAATGTAGTTCTTTAATTATCTCTAATTTTACATTTAAATAACAAAAGGGGATTGTGGGATTATTAATTGTTTTGTGTGCTATACCATGAAGATGATTTTCAGTGGAGAATGAAAGGCAGTTCCTAAAGGTTGTCCTTGTTTTGCTGCAGACGAAGTGACTCGTGATTATGCTTATGGAGAAACGGATCGCTTGATCAGGAAGTGTGTTTTGTTACCGTGGGTGCCCGCTGAGGTGTTGGATGTCAATTGTTTTACTCCAGAGCCATCAGATGAGCATTACCAGGTATACTTTTAACGAGTTAATAGCATATTTTATCTCTCTTAGGAAGAAGCAGTATTTAAAAAGTGTTGCGAGAGTTCTGACTTTGCCTCTTTTATTAGGCTTAAAGATTGATTTAGAGTAAAGCTATTAAATAAAAAAAAAAATGCAAAGTATGGGGAGAGAAGAAATGTCTTGCATATAATATTTAACTATTTAAAAACTGAAGCAACACAAGCCATCTCTAATATGTTACCACAGTATTGTGTAACTTTTTTATAAGCATGCTACAAGGTACTTCAGATGATGTATCCATCTTCCAGTTAAATATTTGATACATTGTCTATTAGGCTTGCTGATGGATTTACTGTTGCAGCACTTCTGGTCAGTCTTGAATTACTGAAGGATTTGTTTTAGTATTTTTAGGGCTGGTTATATTTTTCAGCCTGTCTACTCATTTAATGTCGTGGTTTAGAACCATTACATATTGAAGCAGAGACATCTTTCATTTGATGGCACTATTATAAAGTGTTCATCTGTTTTGTTTTGAGCTCTCCTGTCTGCTAAAGGTTTGTGATATTTTAAGGACCTGAAGTTAATGTTTGGAACGTTCTTTTCATGAATCAAGCCTGCATGAGCTTTCTTTTTAAGGAAAATGAAGAAACCTAATGCCTATGAGGTACTGGCCACTAAGGAGGATTCAAAGTATAGCTCCTAAAGATGAATCTATACCCCAACTATCTGTTTCATATGATGGAGGATAGGCAGAAAATGCCAGATCCAGCTTGTTATTAACAATATCTAGTCAGAAATGAAGTTAACCTGCTTCTGCCAAATAAAGGTATACACTCAAAACAGCTAGGCTGCCTTTTAACCTAAGTCAGATTGGTTGGTTGGGATTTTGCATTTTTGGAAGAGGGCTAGATGTACTTTACATTTACAGATGAGGAACAACAATGCACCCATAGTTCATGTTTTAGAGGTGTTCTCTTGGCAAAAGTGCTTGGATCTCAGATAAGGCAATGTTTTGCCTATGTTTTAATTCTGTTTTGGGATGATCAGGTCAAGTTAGAGCTGTGTGTGGCAAATGGGCAAACGCTATCCTCCTTTACCACCCCATCTTAAAAACACCTTCTCCAAGTATCAAGTATCCTTTTTTTCTTTATTGTGTTTCTGCTGCTCACCTATTGAGAAGAGGTGACAGCAAAATATTGATGGTAGAACCACCCAACAGAACTTTCTTTTACTCTGGAATGTGTAACTGTAGCTTAAAGTCTTAAGTGGTGACAGGCCAGTGAGGAGTAGCTTAGGGTGTAGCACATTCTTAAACACAAAAAGCGAAATGGCTAGAAAGAGATACCATGTTGCTGACATGTCTAATTCCCCTATTTTCACATAAGCAGAGCTGTGTGCACACACACAAAAAAAACATACAGACAACTTCAAAGATCTGTTTACAGTATTAATATGTAAGCCAGCAGTTCTGCTGGGAAATAAAATTGTGTGGAAATATTTCTAAATGTTTATGCAAGCCACGTTTCAAAATTGTTTGTTGCTATCACTGTACAATTTCTGCAACTGCTTTGCTACTCTGTGCAAATAATCATTGATGTTTCAGTGGGCTGGGTTATTGGTTTTTTTACTGTAGCTAAGGATATTACATTTCTTATTTTAGTTTTCCTTTAAACCCGAAGGCTTCAATGTTCCATTTAAAAGAATCACAGAGTTATTACAGCAATATTGTGGCTTAACTTTTACCTGGTTGGGTTTTTTTTTTCCTTCTGTTACCTAATTCTGGTCTCCAACACAGACCACAAAGACTGTGACTGAATTGGTACTATGGGCAATGATTGGGCAAGGATTGCAGAAACTAGTGTTAGGGGAGGCGGCTTCTAATGGAGTATCTGGGATGGAAGAAGTATCTCTTGAAGGGACTAGAGTAGTTGCTGTTCTGCAACAGCTCCCTGCAGTTGCAAAAAATGAATCCTCTGGTACTTCTCTGAGAATTATCTTCTCTTAAAAACACAGGCTCCCTTCCTATTCTTAGGTTACTGTAGGAATTATTTTGTGTTTGTACTGTTCAGTCAGTTTTAGAAGGTGACGTCTAAGATCTTTGATTACAATTGTGGTTTTGTTTGTGCTTTCCAGTTATGTATGATTACATGCCCTATAGCAGCCTTCAAGGTAAAGAGGTATGTCTATGGCTAGACAGACATTTCACCACTGCACCTTATGAGCAGCAACTGGAACTCGGGGAGCTGTTGCAGAACAGCAGCTGCTTTGGTTTCTCAACGCGCGCTTCTCCCATCGCAGAGTTTGTGAGCTGCTTTCTTTGGCAGTGTATCAGCAGTGATCCAAATGTGTGTTTCCTTCTATCAGTTAGAGGTGTCGTGAAAGATGGGGTGAGATTTTTCAAGCGTGTTTACTACTGAAGACTGCAAAAAGCCTTTTGCTCATTTTTACAGCAGCAAAATTAAGTTCCGATTTCCGATACTTCTTTAAGTTATCTGCAATAAAACATCATCGCTAAATGGTCAATCTTCCATTTTGTTGGAAATACGGTAACTTTGCTTTTTACAGCGTATGATCGTCTGTGATTTTATGTTTTGTTTAATGCTTAGAAGAAACAGGAATTTCTTGGAGTGCTTCGACAGTGTTCATGAGCCCTGGTCTTGAAGCCATATTTCTTGTTCTTTTTTTACTAATATCCTCTTACCTCTGATTCCCCTCTGCCTCTGCTCTTGCACTGATTATTATTTTTTTTTTCTGAGCAGCATATTACACAACATGATATATTTCTCAATATTACTCATCATATTTCTCAAAATGCAACTTTGGCAGAATTCACTTGTGCCATGAGACATGCAGATGGACTGCCATTTTTACTGTGACCACAAATGCATTTCTATACGTTATTTAGATACTTACATGGAGACAATGAATTGCAGAAAATGATCTGTAAAGGTTTATAATTTGAGGAAATTTCAGGAGGGTAAGCTTCAACAGGCTGTTGCTAATAAAACACTTGGATGAACATTGAGTCATACAGAATATTTTTACCTGTAGCTTCTCCTTAAAGATTGTGTTTGGTTTTCAATCACTTTGTTTATAAACATGATTATGCACACTTTGAAATTCAGTTTGGTCTAAGCTGCTGTTCATATCTGCTGAGTATTGTGGAGTTTGACCTAAGTCTGCTCATTTATTCTGCCCGGTATTAACTTTTTGTGGGTTTTCTGGTTTTCTAGGCTATTTTATCAGAAAACAAGGAAAAACTGCCCATAGCGATAAACCCACCGGTTTATGACAAAGACAAAGTTTTCAAGTACGTATCTGCAAACAAAATGCATTCTTACCAAGAGTGAGTATAATAATTGCAGTGTGCTGAGCCTGAACCTCCTTTTCCAGCTTTGAACAACAGAGGCAAGTAAGGTGTGTTTATATATAGCCAAATGCTTACGAATTTGACTTACTAGTTGTTCTTGTTGGATTCTTCAGAGTAAATGAATTTACACTTACAGAATTTCTAAAAATTCTAAAAAAATTCATATATTTTTTAAAATAAGTGCCACCTTCTGGGTGAAAGACAAGTTGTATAATATTGTAGCACTGTTTTCACTAAGGAGTATAACTAAAGTATATAAGAAAGACTTCTCTGCATTATAGGATTTACATCCACAGGGGTACATGTGCTTCTCTGTGCTATGTGAATATAACAGACTATTCCCCTCCTTCAGATGAGAGAGCCAACCAGGAATCTTGTCAAAACCTGGGATATTTTAAATTGGATTTGTTCCTAACTACAAAAATGGAGTGTATGTTGTGAAACTATTTCAGAATAAAGAAGGGGAGAACATTGCAAAGATAAGGGGTTTTTGTGACCCAAAGCAGTGGCACTGCATTGTTAGACTGCCTTATTACTAGTTTTATTCCAGAAAAACATACTATTACATAGCATGTGCTGTGAGTTGCACTCTAGGGTGTTTGGAGTCAGACACTGGGATCCAAGTTCTTGCTCACAATATTTTGCTTAAGGGATGAAGTTAGGCTACAGTGTATTTGGTTGTGCTGAGGGGACTTTTTGTGCACTAGATCAACTTGAGAAGAATTATTGAAAATTGAAGTCACTTTGGAATTGAGAGGCATTTGTTAACTTGCTTAGTGGTGGTCTGGATTTCATTATGCAGTTGAAATCTCTGGTTACAAGACTGATGAAAAAATAGCTTTTGCTTATCTTCACAGTGTACTTGCCTGTATTTCAGATAAGGGAGCCAAAGGTAGATGCATTCTAAGGGAGATGGAAAGAAACAGTGAGGTTGTTGGGAGATGTCGACTTATTTTTCACTGCTGCCTCTTCATTTTGCGTCTCATATTTCAGGTGAATGGCATTTACATCAGGGAAGGATGGGGAAACAGATGCCAAATCCTTCCTGCTCTGCTTCTAAGGAATGTCATCAACACTCTATGTACTCCTAAGGGTTTTCCTCTCGTCTTCTTTATCCAGTTCCTGTCTGGAGAGAAGAAGGGAGATCAGCATAGCCCCCGCAGGAGGCCAGAAGGTCCTTCTGGTTTTCTGAATTTAATCTACTAAAGTTCCTCCAGGAGCAGAGTAGCATCTGCAGCCTTTCAGTGCTTTTGGCCTCTTTCAAAGCCTTAAAATTTTTAAGGCTGCCACCATGGGCAGGCAGATGGGAATGTGTGAAACTGGGCAGGTGTGTGTAGCCTGTGAATGTGTATGCTCTGCCTTGTGTATTGTCGCTGTTGTAGGGAATTTGGAAGAAATTAAATGCACGAGGTTGCAAAGTTTAGAACCTGGGCCAAGTTCTTATTCATCTTGTCTCAAAGTTAGCTAAGACAGAGTGGGAAGATGAAATAAATGTTTAACCTGAATCCTAAAAAGCAGGGGAGAAAGTACACGTAGTTTGATATAGCAAAATTATAGGTTCAAGTAGGTCTTGTAGTGTTAATAGTAACTGCTGCCCTAGGGACATTGTTCTACCCAGCTGTGCTGATTGGTGGCTTGAAAAAAAGGTGGATAAAAGAACTAAATGTTTCAAAGACAAAATTCACGTGAAAAGTTCTTCCAGTTTGTGTTGGGCTTGATCATCTATTTTTCTTTTGATCTTCTCTTTCATGTTTCTCTTCAGCTACATCATTCATTTCTTCAAGATGCCTGAAGAGCTGTTCTGAGACAACACCTCTTTCTTTTTATCACTCTTGTTTAAGTGATATCTAACATGTTTTACCTTAATTGCACTATTCCACTGAATAATATCTTCTTTAATTCCAGATTTTATAGCATCTCTAATAGGACTTCTGTATGACAAGGGGTGGAGGGGAATCATTCAGGAAGAAGTATGGTTAGTTGGTTTCATTAGTTCAATGTGTCATTGATGTTGGAATGAAAGGTCCAGTGAGTGAGTTGGCTGATATCACAGTGTTACAGTGTAGAGGTTGTCATCTATCAAACCCAGAATGGGACTTGATGCATTTCTTATCTGTCTGTATTTTTATGTATATATGTGGATGTGTATTATCAGAGTAGGCACGAGAATGTGTACCAACTAACTTAACTAAAAACAAGGGAATACCGTAAAGATCCTACATACTCCTTAGATAACAACAGAGGAGTATCCCAGTACTTGTCAAGTGCCTGCCCCTTGTAGTCTGTGTTTTCTGAGTGCAGAGGTCTGATTATTTTTTTTTCAAATGTATATACTAAAGTACTGAAGGGAATCTGACCACTAAACTGAGTGATATGTGTGGCATTGAAATACATCGCTTTTTATGTAGTGTTTCTCTGAAATTTTCATTCTCGAAATCAAATCGCCTGCCTTCCAGAATCTTTGTCTGTCCCAGGACTTTTATGGTGAGAGGATTCTGTATAGAGTGGATGGAGTGATCTAAAAACTTGGAACGAGTGGAATGGCCTTATTTTCCCTCTAATCTTAACCTCCATCAGCTTATTTCAGTGGTCTTCCTACACTTGGCAAACGTGATGGAGCTTGCCTGTTACTTTTGTGCTGCATTTTTGTGTTCTATGAGCAAGTCTTAAGATCCAAAGCAGCCTGGCACATGAGTTTCTTAACAAGACCTCAAGATTACGAAAGCAGGCTTCTTAATTGTTCATGTGAGTAGTACCGCTGTGAAATTTTCACAGAATCACAGAATCTTCT